TTCTCCAGCCTCCAGCTTCAAAGGAAATGTGAACTCCTCTTGGCACAGAGGCTGTGATAAACTCTGATGCTTCCAGGACGTGGACGTGCTGGAGCGAGTCCAGAGGAAGACACAAAGATGCTTCAAGGGCTGTAGAACCTTTGCTCTGGAGACAGGCTGGGAGAGCTGGGAGTGTTCAGCATGGAGAAGAGAAGGATCTAGGGAGACCTCAGAGCCCCTTCCAGTGCCTAAAGTAGCTTCAAATAGAGCTGGAGAGTGACTTTGGACAAGAGCACAAGGGGAAATGGCTTTAAAATGAAAAGGGGGAATGGCTCTAAACTGAAAGAAGGCAGGGTTGGATTAGATATTGGGAAGAAATTCTTCCCTGTAAGGGATGTGAGACACTACCCAGAGAACTTGTGGATTCCCCATCTCTGGAAGTGTTCAAGGCCGGGTTGGATGGGGCTTGGAGCAACCTGGTCTAGTCGAAGGAATCCCTCTCCATGGCAGGAACACTGGAACTACATGATCTTTCTGGCCCCTTCCAACCCAAACCATTTTGTGATTCTATGACTCTGTGACTCCTTCACAGCTATGACCACTAGGAGTTTTCAATGCTGCTTAATCCACACATTTCCATCAGCTTGTTTTATCCCTCCAAGACTGCTGCTGACTGAATGGCAGTATTGCCATCTACTGGGCAGCTGCCTCCTTCTCCCAATCTCTCAGCTGGCCAAAGTGCTCTTGGGCAATGCTTGTCCTCCTCTGTGGGACCAGAAGCACCATGTATGTCACTAAGGTATCACACTAAAATAAAATGAAATAAGGCTTAAAAGACACACTTTGGTTTGGAGGAGAGGTGGACATGTCCTGGGGCTTGGCTGTGTTTCCACATCTGGCCTAGCACACACATCCTCAGCTGGATGAAACCATCTTCATAAGGCAAGTGCTCAAAAAAAACCCCTGGGTGCACCTACATTTTGACCAGGGAAGCTGAGTGAGGGACCAAAACGCCAGTGCTGGGCATACCTGACTCCATTACATCGATTTGTGCATGAAACTCACCAAAGTGGGAATATCTGCAACCAGTGGAGTTGAAATATTTTGTCACAAGCAGAGGCTTTGGGGGTTTTCAGGTCAGTCCAGCTGAGGAGGCTGAAAGACTTGAAATTGCCTGGGAACCTGATTTCTTGGGGACCACATGAGCTACATACCAGGGGTAAAATATTACAGGAGAACCCTGCCATCAGGATGAATACCACAGAAGGATCTGCCTCTAAAATAAACCTGCTCCCCTGAGATACACTGCATGGGAAATTACTATCTATTATACTTCTCTGGAAATAAATACTTGGCTGCTACTTTGTAGTAAATAGAGATGAGAACTTAATGGTCCTTAAGTGCTTTTCATAGTCAAAGCATCCCAAAGTGCTCTCTGGTAATTAAGGCTGAAAAGCTGTCAGGAGGCAAGGGAGCCTCTTGTAGCCACACTCCCAATATCCATCACTTTTGCCTGCAAGTGAGCAAGGGAATGATTGGTGGAGTGGTACAATTTCAGCTATAGAGATTTTGGAGGTTATTGTGATAAAGAACAGCAGCCCCAGGGTAGGATTTGGATGAGGAGATATCTATAACCAGAAAATCTCTATGCAGTTGTGGTGTGGCTGAGGGTCCTGTTGCTGAGCTTATGTCTGTGTGATTTTAAAACTCTTCAGCTCTGTTTGTGTTTTGGGCCAGCTGAGGCGCTCAAGGGTATGAAGACATCCCCATGGGGCTGGTGAGGTGACAAGGGACCTCAGCAAATCTGTGCCCCTTTGATGCAGCAGAATGGGGTGGGACAGGTTGTCCTCAGACATCCCTAACAGCACTAAGTTGATACCTGCATCCCCACACTGTGTTTCACAGCTCCTACAGCCTTACCTCCCCAGATAGCTCAATGTGTTGTGGCTGGTCCTACACCTCATTGAACACCCTACACGTGGTGGGACCAACAGATAGTTCTGTTGCCACGGTTGTCTCCTTTTTCTGCTCTCCACAAAGATGTGGGGAGTACCACTTTTCCAAAATCTAGTTCATTCCCTGGTTTAGTTGCACCCTCACCTCCCAATTTTAGAGAAAAGGATGTGGACATATTGCTGTTACACCTGCCATCTCCACACAGTAAACCCCGTGTAAAGCACCACATTTTCCACAGACTTCCCGAGATCACAGCTTTGCCCGGCAGAGCCAGGGAACAAGCAGCTCTATCCAGGCACTTGGATAGTGAGAGGCAAATGAGGGCACAGGAGAAGAACACGTGCCCTACCCGTGCGCTGCCAGGCTCCCGCCTCCCTCTTATCGCAGCTGAGCAGCACAAGCTGTTCCTGTCATCGAAACACGGAAAGAAACGCTGCTCTTGGCACCGAGGATGTGATAATGACCCTGAATTAGGGCTGTATGTCTCCAGCACCTGATTCTCCTGCTCCTGTGGGTGCAGCCTGAGGTTTTTCCTCCTGGATGTTGTAGGAACAGGTCCAGGTCTTGCTTATGTGGAGGAAGAATTTAAAGGAGCAATGTCCAGCCTGGCTTTCAGAGCAGCTTGTGACAAGAGGTTTCAAGCACCCGATGACCACAGTTGCCCTGTGGAGACCAGGGCTGTGGGCAGGAGCAGGGGCAGCCTGTCACTACTCTCACATCAGGGGACAGATGTGAGGGGGGATGGCTCTGGTGTTTAGCGTTGGGTCAAGGCACAGGCATACTCACTGAATTCCTAATGTGGTCCCGATAGCAGCAATATCCCCAGTGGTTCCCAGCTCTGCCCAGTTCTGGCCAGGAATAGAGGCTGATTAGAAATTGTGACCCCATGTGACATCCCCAAAATTCCCCCATGGCCCATGCACCAAGTACAAAGGGGTTAGATGCCCAGCGCAGGCATCGGGCACTCTGCAAAACCACCAGGCACTCTAAGACTTCACTTCTCAGCACCTGAGTAATTCTTGGAAGCGATTTGAGGTGTTCCCTTTAAAAAGATCTTATTTCCCAAAGCCTATGATCTGTGTTTTTTAATTCCTTCTGAAGCTCAGAGGCAAAACTTGAATGTAGTCAGGCAAGACTTCAGGTGCCAGTGTGCTCCTGACACATGGCTGTGCAGTTGTTCTTAGAAGGGACATTACTGAACCCAACAGCTCCAGGCTCTTTCAGAAGTGTCCTGCCCACGGTGGGCTGTTGGAATGAAATGATCCCTAAGATCCCTTCCAACCCAAACCATTCTGTGTTTCTATGATTTATAGTCTAGCAGCAGAAATCACACGTGCTGTCTTACAAGGAGCAAGAACCATTCAGCAATATTAAAAAGTAGAAAAGCTGAGATTCAGGGGTTTTTTTTAACCTGTCAGAAGAGGAGAATTGCCAAAGTACTGAGTGCCCAGGAGACACTACCAAGTGCAGCCCAATAAAACTGAGAGCCGAAAATACAGCCAGGACTCTGCTCCTTCACAAGCCTTAAAGAAAGTGCTACTGGTTTCATTTTCGTTTGCTGTAACAAGGAAGATTTATCTGTTTGCAGATCAGAGCTCTGGATAACGGCAGCGAAAAGCAGCTCCTGTGCGTCATTGCTTATCTGTGGGTCTGCAAGCAAACACGGAGGACAGAGTGCAAGGCTGAGACAGGCCGTGTCACCGTTCCTGGCCCGCAAAACTCCTTTAGCAGTCGGTGGTAACCGTGCTGGATATTCCTTCGGTTGGCCAATGCCCTCTAGTGGCTTTTGGAGAGGAGAAATGTGCATTCCACAAAGCGAGGATTTTGCTAAAATCCTGCTATGGCCCAGGTGTGTGCAGGGTTTGGGAGAGAGGGGACACAGGTGGTTTAGAATGATAGAAGAGCTAAATCAAGACCCTTCATCCATAAATGTGCATCTCATACACAGCAAAAGGGGGAAAGGGAAAGTTGTGGGATTCCCTGTGTTTTCCAAGAAGGTGATTTGTAGTTCACAGAATCATAAAATGATGTGGGTTCAAAAAGACCTTAAAGATCATCCAGTTCCAACACCCCTACTTTGGGCAGGGCCACCTTCCACTAGGCCAAGCTCAAATCAAACCTGGTCTTGAACATGTCCAGGGATGGGGAAGGAATGGTTTTATACTTCATGAAAAGACAAATCCTGCTTTATTGTGCACATACATCTCTCCTCCTCCTCCCCTCCCTTTACCAACCCTGCTGTGTGTCTAACAGGGAGATGGCTTTTATTTGGAAATATTATGCACTGCACACAGGCTTGCCCAGCTGGCTGAGCCCCCTGCACACCTAACAGCACAAGGGTTTGTTTAACAGTGAATTTATTGCTTCCTCTCTAGAAAAGCACCCTCCAGAAATGCCCTTTTCTGGACTCTTAGTCTTATAAAATTAATTTTAAAAATTGTCATCCTGTACAGAGTGGATTTAAGAATAAGTTAGATGGATTGTTCTTTCTGTGGGTTGAGTTTGCCACTACACTTGAGGCAGATGGTTTTTGTATGAGCAGTGCTGTATTGAGGCTGTTTGTTTAGGAATATGAAGATAACCCAGTTCTGCAAGCAAAACTGCTTGGCTGCTCTGAGAACAGAACAGAATAGGAATATTTATACTTGTGCCCGGCAGTGTCAGACATTGCTCTGCTCCCACTGACCAGGAAGCACTGAGCTGACCACCTTTGCCAACGGTGGGGTTATCCCTAAGGAAACCCTCAATGAGAAAAACCCATCCTGGTCATCTTCAGGTGGGTTTGGTGTCAAAATGACAGCCCTGAAGAGCTGTGCTCGCTGCCACGGCCCAGCCCCAAGTTAAGGACACCATCACTGGAGCATTCACTGGAGTCTCCTTCTCTGCTGGCCTGGTCTGAGCTGTGCCTGTGGCTGAGCAAACACAGCAATGGGTCACTGGTTGCAGTCACTGAGACTTTATTACCCTGTTAGCCAAACCTTGCTGTTAGTAGCCCAGAGAGCTCAGAAGGGATGAGAGGAGGGTTAATGAGTAGAGATTCTTCATTCTAATCTCTTATATTCATACACCAGTTGATCCTTCTCTAGAACCCCCCGTTATTCTCCATAGTCTGGAAAACACAAAAGAGATTAATTCAGTAGAGAGCCAGAGTAAGGCATGTCTCTATCCCAGGTGATGCTCTGAAGAAGGGTTTGTTCCCAGCTGGGCCAGGAGATTGCTCTAAAAATCTGTTCCCACCCAAAATGGTTTATGGACCACAGTAACCTCCCCCTTCCTCACACTGATTTAAAATACCTCTCTCCACCTTTCTTTTCAGCATGACTCATAGTTTGCAGCTGCCTTTCCACATAACCATCCCTTGTGCCTGGGAAGAGGTTGCTCCTTGTGCCAATCATTATTTCTGGGAGCAAAGGGCTAGTTGTTCGTTCCCCAATGTGATGCTGAGGGTGGATAGTGCAGCACTGCAGGACTTGCACTTGCAGAAATACTTTATGGTTGCTGTATTTCCCATTCAGCTGATTCCTTCCATGGTTTCCTCCAGCAAGGTTTTGTCTGGGTGAATGATGATGATAATGTTTTGGACTTGGAGCCCAGTTCCTGCCTGGCTTGAATTTTGTCCACGGTCCTCAGCAGAGCATTGCAGCTCCAAGGCAGCAGCTCCTTCCTTACTGTTGTTTGATTACACCAGAAGTAACATCAAATATCCTGATTTTAGACCTCTCCAGATTTCCCAGCTTGAGTCCTAATGGTCTAATAAATGAAAGACTCCAATTCCCCTGGCAACTCCTTGCTTTCTTGGGAGATGAACCAGGTTACCTCACAGGCATTAAGCAACTTACACTGTAGATCCAGTCTACATAGGCTGACACTCGAGTGAAGACTGTTGGTTTCTGGTAGGTGTTACAGTAGGGCACTAACCCAAAACTGACAATCCCATGGACTTCCCAGTGATCATCTTTGTAGCAGTTGAGAGGGCCCCCAGAATCCCCCTGGATCAAAGGAAGGAAAGGAACATATTGAGCTAAATTATCTGAGCAGTTGGAAGACTGGATAGGATTAAGGAGCATGGAAATAAACATGAAAATAAAAATTTGTGCTGCTTTCTTTTCCAAGGGCTGACTGGTCCCCAGCAGTGTGACAGCAGAGACTGCCCAGCACCTTCTGAATTGCTGAAAAATCAGCCCCTCTATGTGTTATCTCAGTCCTCATGCACATACACACACATACATACACCCATATACCCCCAGGATGGGCTGAAACCCTAACTTACCACCATTGTAAATTTAGTGACTGTAAGCAAATGGTCCAGGGCACAGTGCATAAAACACAATCCTTTCCTGCAAGGTCCACCTGCCCAGCATCTCTGCTAAAAAATCAGTGCACTCTCCAGTTGTAAGGGACCAGGGAGAAGGGAAATGCTGTTCCCCTTGTTTTTCACAAACATGTATATACAAAGAGTCCCAGGAAGTTAAAGTGGTGAAAAAGAAAGGAACTCGGATTAAAATATATGAGAAGATAAAGGCTTTTGCTTGGCTCGGGACCTGGTTTTTAACAGGGTTCTACCATAATTAAACCTCACAAAAAAAAATACATTAAATATCTACAGACCTATAATTACCTTATATAATGTAATTGAAATATGTATAACTGTTTAACCTGTTTTATTTCTATATGTGTCTCTATTATATTCATATCTTTACATAATCAAACATGTTATGTATTTGTCCACAATTTTTTAAGGGCTCTGCATGGTGGCTCTTACCAGAAGCCATCTCTGCAGCAAAGGGAATACAGGCAGAGGTCACAGGTATTCCCTGCCTTCATGAGCCAAACCTTCTTGCCTTGATGTTGGGGCCACCTGGAACCTCTGGGATAATGAGAACCTCACAGCATCTTCCTTTCCCACCCAACCTGGGCCAGATAGTGCAGTTGGACATGGCCAAAACTTCCAGCAAATTCAGCTGTCCATGCAAACAGAGCGGAAGGGGAGGGAAGGGTGGACAAGCAGAGGGAAGCACTGCCTGGCCCGGGGTGCAGTGTGACAGCAGTGTTGGAGGAATGGACTGACTTCCCCACAGCTTCACCCTTTGGGTGAGGGCAGAGGCAACTGCCAAAGTTTCAACCTAGTCCCCAGGATCTGGTCCATGGGACATGCTGCTGGAAGGCAGGGCAAACCTCCCCTCCAAAATCAGAGGGGAAAGGCACACCCTGAGGACTTGAAGGTTTTCTCTCTGCTGTGGGGAGATGGAGAAATGTGGAGCAGGTCTGGTTTGTGAGGTATTCAGCAGAAATCAGCAAAGGGGCCAGGATTTGCAGGAGAGCTATTCCAGGTGGAGAAATAGCAAAAACAGGTCCCAAGTGAAGGAACAGCAAGGTCGGAGAGATAGGAAAAAACAGAGAGGAGCTTAAAAATGCTTTGATAACAACAGCTCTTACACTGCATCCAGCCTTCACACCATCTCCACCAGCACAGAGCATGGTGTCCTTTGCCAGGGATCCCCACCAATCATCCTGGGAGCAGATCTCGTGGTCGACCACCGGCAGCATCACCTCCTGCAGCCTGTCCATGCTGCCGCCCCCTGCTAGCAGGGAAAGGGGGAGACGATGGCCCAGGAGCTCCAGGGGTTGAGGAAGGAAGCTTTACCTTCACAGTGGTCCTTCTGGAATCAGGAGGGACTCTCAACACTCCTACTTCCCCCTTGCTTACCACTAACTACCCCCCAGCCGGTGACATAGCAGGGGTAGTTATTGGGCAAAATTTCTCCTTCAGGTGGAAGCACTCCCAGCTCGATGAACCCGTTGGCATTGGCAGGAGACTCGAGGCACAGCAGAGCAATGTCATAGCTGAAACAGGACGTAGGGGAAAGATTCCTTACTGAAAATCCTGAATCGGTCGTAAACCAGACATCCTGGCATGATGCACCTTGAAAATATCATTAATTATTCCTTATAGGTATCACAGGCAAGAGGAAAATAGGAGCAATTAGAAGAGAAGAGGCCATAGTACAGACTGATAAAGGGCTAATATCCCTCAAAAACCTCCTACTGCTTTGGAGCTCTCCAACCTCTGGGTGAATTTTGGTGCATCTTGGGTGGATGGGCATGTCTCTGAGGAGTGATTTAAGACAGTCCTTCAGCATTCCCTTGTTGGTTTCCCTTTGTCAGATGCACACAGTGCTGTGACTGCTGGCAAGCCCCTGAATCCACTGTGCATCCAAGATCCATTCGTTTTTTTTCCAAGATGGGGAAAAGAGGCCCATCTTTTCTCCATCTTGGACAAAGCAGGACTGAGGTCGTCCACACAGACACCATGGAACACCTCCAAGAGAGGAAGCTGCTTGGGAAATCTCCCTTGCACCATCTTTCAGTGCTTCCCACAAATCCAGCCTCACTGGGAATTGGATTGAATACACACGCTAGTGGGACAGGATCCTAAATAACATTCAACCATCTGATGTTACTCAAAAATAATTACCCATTGGCAATGTCATTGGGATTCCAGCCATCATGAATGAAGATTGCATCCACATCAATGTAGTACTCGGTGCCATCCACCTCCAGGAGGTTGTGCTCACCCAGAGCCACACGGTAGGATGCTCCTGGGGGCCTGAAAACCAATCACAGAATAATTAATGTAAAAACTACTCCCCACCAAGTGCTTTGCAGTGTAAATACTTCCACCAGTGCAATAATTTCCAAAGCACCTTCCATCAAAGGTTTTTCAAGGGACTGTAGCTAAATTTGTTGTGAGCAAGTCTGGAGAAGGGCAACAAAGCTGGTGAAGGGTCTGGAGCACAAGTTTGAGGAGGAGCAGCTGAGGGAGCTGGGAGTGTTTAGCCTGGAAAAAGAAAGGAGGCTTAGAGGAAACATTAATGCTCTCTACAGCTACCTGAAAGGAGGTTCTAGCAAGATGGGAGTTGGTCTTTGTTCCAGGTAACTAGTGACAGAATGAGAGGAAATGGCCTCAAGTTGCACCAGGGGAGGATTAGGCTGGATATTGGGGAAAATTTCTTCACTGAATGGGTTGTCAGGCATTGGAACAGGCTGTCCAGGGAAGTGGTGGACTCATAGCCCCTGGAGGGATTTAAAGGATGTGTAGATGCGGCACTTGAGAACCTGGTTTAGTGGTGGGCTTGGCAATGTTGGTTTAACAACAGGACTCAATGATTTTAGATGACTTTTCCAACCTAAATTATGACTCTATGATTCTAAGTGGAATTAGGAACATGCTGCCTGCAGTTTGCTGGTGAAGCAAGTGAAGGTGCAGCATCAGCTGACACAGTCCTGAGCTTGGCCTTGAACAAGAAGGTTCATTCTGCATCTCTGCATCTTTCTGAAACAGAGTGTGAAGGACCAGCTTGTTACACTTTATTGGCGTTACAGCTTGTTGGTGTCCCGCTGTATTGCTGAGGTGGTGCATGTCAGACCTGCTGCAGAGCGTGTTGTACAGCACAGCTCAGGTGCCAGCAAACATGCCTTTTGTTCCATCTTTCCATCTCTGTGCAGGTTTCTCGGGATGCAAACCCATGTGAAATGCTCACACTCATGCAAATACACCTCCTCTTATGCAAATCAGCAATCAGCTTGATTTCCGCTCCCAGGAAGTCAGCAATTACTATGTAAAATCAAGGCTAAAGCAAACAGTTTTCCAGTTCCCTTGATTAAGTGAGCAACAAGACGTCCAGCTGTGCAAGGCATGGCACCAGTGGGGAGCTCGGAGGATGAGAAGGGTCTGGCTCCCATCTGCAGCAAGAATGAGGAGCACATCAGGAGTTTTAACACTTTTTATCCTTCTCACACACTGAGGCAATGGGCTGCAGTCATGACCCACTTGCTGCTGATAAGGGTTCCACCACAAATGTGAGCATAGTACCCCGGGTCGTTAGGGTAGGCAATCTGAAGTGATACCTGGAGGAAACAGCAACGTATTTTACACCCAAGCCATGCCATTTCTCTGCAGAAACAGTGTGTGTGGCTTTGGACAGCAGAAGCTGTCCTTTCCTCACTGTTGTGGTTGTTTTTTTTTTCAAATATAAGGCTTTTTTCAAGTATAAGACACACCAGTATTACCTGCCACTTCCAGCTGTTTGGTTGGGCTTCGTGGCCTCCAATTACTCGTCCTGTCAGCACATCCTGCTGAAGAGTGCCCCTCAGGGGACCTCCAGAGATTGCCCCTAACACACACAAAAAAAGAAGAGCAGTTTGTCATGTGGACTCCTAAAGAGCATCAGTCATCCCAGCCAGCCAGGTCTGAAAGATGGAGTGACTGAGACTTGCACGTGGTGACACTGTGATCACTCTCCATCCTGGAGGCTTCTTTAAAGCCTCCGTGGTTGAAAACTACCAAAAACAGGCCTTCAGATACAAAGTTATATAAACTGACTCATTCCCCATACTCCAACCCCACCCTGCTGCACCAACCTAAATCCTCTTCCTTTTAGGGTGTAGGTTTCCCTTCCCTCAGAGCACTTCCAGACCTTTCTCATGGAGATAATGCTTCTGCAACAGAGGAAAACCCTGCCACATCAGGGTTTGCCCTAGCACAGTAACTGCAGAGAAACAAAAAAATTATATGCTCTAATCTCCATCACTTAGAGGTTGAGCTGTTCACCCTTCCCAGCTCAGATAAATTGTATCTTACCCAGGCAACTCGGAAGAACCAGAAACCAAAGCATCTTTAAAGAAGTGGTCACATTTTTTCCAAGAAAATATCTTTTTATACTAAAATATCTGATAAGAAGCTGTGTCTAAATTTGGTATCAATACAATTTATCTATACTCATGACTCACTAAACTGATCAAAAGTGCTCTACATGTGGAAAAACCCAAACTGCTCAAGGTAGAGCCCAAGGTTACACAAACAGCTCCACACTGCACAATTCCCACAGGACCATGAAGCAGGGGGAAAAAAAAAAGGAAAAAAAAAAGAGAGAAATTTTGGGTGCTCTCAGACCACTTCAAGAACAAGGCAGGACAAACCCAGGCTCAAAAGGCCAACACTCCAGACTAGCAATTGTGGATGCACATGTAAGAAATGTATTTGTCAGTCCAGCTGTCTGCAGCTCCATGTAACACGAACTGATCTTTGCCAACCAGATAAACAGAGCAATAACCAACAGGGAAAAATGAGGGGGTTCAGCCTAGGCTGGACATGTTAAACTGACTTTGGCGGGACATGCTGAGCCTTTTTTAGGATCCTTTTCTGCTCCTTCCTTCCTTTGGAATGAACCCAGATCCATCCTTTTTGCACCCTCCCTTTGGGTATTTATGCACTTTAATGAGATCCTTCCCTTTTCCAGACTGATCAGTTCTAGATCTCTTGGTCTTTCCTTGTGGGAGCAGTGTTTCAGTTCCTTCATCGTCTGTGTGACCCTTTGCTGGAAAAGACAGTATGGATCACCCACCCAGGTATGCTGATGGAATCCACTCCCCATGGAAAAGACACTGTAGGATCAGGACCTTTTCCCTATCATTCCTCTTAAACAAATCCTTTCTATTTTACTGGAAGCCATAAAGAGTTCAGTGCGATATTTCAGCACTGAGACTTTATTTAAGTCATCAAACACATTTTCCCCTTTACATCATAGATCATTTTTAGCTTCCAGTTAGTTTTGGCTAAGGAGGTCAGAAAGTGGCCTCCTACCCAAGGAGTCTCTTCCCTCACTTTCACTACATTCATCATCCCTAAAAGTTAGACTGGGCCAACTCACTCATTTTTTTTATCATCAATTTCTTTTTCCAAAGACTTTATGAGTTCTATACATAAAATATTGTTTTAGAATGTAGTTGTTTATTCTCCTTATGGACACTGTGGCATTTGGTTTGAGCAATTGCTTGTCCATGATCTGTCCTCTGCTGCCACGAACACAGTATCATACTCATTGTGCAGCTTTGATGTGGGGCTGAGTTCAAATGCCCAAAGGAGAAATAAATTACAGTGAGGATGAAGAATTACAGCTGTTTTCAGAATTCCTCCACTCCAGGCATTGTTTTAGTGTAGGGCTATTAAGGAATTGTCTGAGTTTCCTCCTGGGTTCTACATATGTGGTTTGTGGAAGTTGTTGACCTACAGGACATATGTGAATGGAAAGAGAGGAGTGCAAGCGTTGGGACTCGGAAGCTGTTTCATATATAAGCACTTGCTAGGATGAAAAAATTTTGATTTAGGGAATGAGGAAATGAGGAAATGAAAAAATACTGAGATTTGTGTTAATGGCAATGAGAAGGCTGATTAATGGAAGGGGTCCTTGTCCATGGCAGGGGGTTTGGAACTTGATCATCTTTAAGTTCCCTTTCAAACCAAACCATTCTGTGATTCTGTGATTATTTTTGGTATCTCAGCATTACCATTGACCTCCAGTTGTGAAGCTTGGTTGAAGACACTGAAGTCTAAAGGTGACATTCAAAACACATCATCTCAGCTACTGCTAAAGCTCAGCAGCCCATAACCCTCCAGAGGCTATCAAATTAGTTTCAGAACATGAACAGTCCTGGAATCAGAGCCCAGAATTCTTCCTCTTTGAAGGAGAATCTCAAGGCAGAGCCATCTCAGGATTTCTCACATGTGTAGGTAAAAAGGAATTTCTGTGGTCCAAGTCTTCACCAGCAAACAAAATGAGGCGTCTTAGAGAACCAGAGAATCTCCCGAGCTGGAAGGGACCCACAAGGATCACCACATCCAACTCCAACACAAGGATCATCACATCCAGCTCCAACACCACAAACACAAGTGGCCCTGTTTGTGTCCATATGGCAAAATTCTTCTATCTCTAAACCAGAGAGGTCTCATCCATGCTGCCTATGGAGCATGGGGTCTCTTCCATGCTGGCTTTCCAAATCACGTGTAAAAGTTGCTACAAGAACCATGGGCTGGTGCAAACCAGTGTTATGTCAGAGTGTGCTAACAGTTATCTGTACAAAAAAGAGGGACAATGTCTAAGTTGGTGATTCAGCACTGTTTAGTGAAATGGTGCTCTGGCATTGTTTAGTTAATTAGTGATCTAGCACTGTTTAATTATATATAGCCTTTACGTCCTTGTTCTCATAGGATCTGAATTAAATATTTAGATGACAGCAGCATTTTCTGGGTGCGTAGATTATTTTAAGAATGAGGGGAAGCACAAGGGATGTCATGAGTGGTAAGATGGATGGTGGGGAAAGATTCCAGGACTGTACAAGAAAATAAGGACATTTGGGTGGACTTGATGAGATCCATTGGGAGCTATTGAGCACAAAGATGAGGATATAGTCATCTTTCAGGGAGGCCCTGAAGCACAAACTGAATTCCAGACGCTGAGAGGCTTCACTGTGTATGTTTGCTGTGCAGCTTTATGCCTGCTCTGCTCTTACATGCCTTTCCTAACCTATAAATATTCCTAGCTTATCATCAGCTGGAAATAAGTTAGGACAACATAAGTGGAAATACTTCTGCTATAAAAGTAAAAAAGTCTGTGCATATACTATTCTGAAACCATCATTAAAACCTTGATCTAAAACACAGTTCTTAATAAATATACTCCTGTGGTCTTATTCATCAGTAAATGAGGATAACCAATAAATGAGGACAAAGGAACAAATTCCTTCCTTCTTTTCACTGCAACAGGATGAAACCTTTATTTCAGTATGAGCACTGTTGAGCTGTAAAAGGTAACGATGATGCGAAAAAGCTAATTGTCAGACCACACTATTTATCTCTATATCCTGACACATATCTTTGAAGGCTCATGTAAAATACATCCAACTCAACGGAAATTTTTAGAAAGAAGGAAACATTAAACCAGTAAATGTGGAAACTTCATATTTCAGCACTAACAATGAAAAATGGCATAAGGTAATGCCAGTATACTCACTTTAATGATAAAAATGTTTACTAAATTTAAAGTCAGTCTCTCAAAATACACTCAGTTACCCCATATTTACTGATGTTTCACAGGATGATGTTTGATGGAAAGGGCAATGGACTGAGTATCACTAGAGTTGGAATACACTGGGCTGTACACATTTATGAGAAATGCTACCTGATAAATTTATAGGGCTGCTGAGGTGCAGGCAAGTTCTAATGCACTCGTGCAGGCAAGTTCTAATGCACTCTACTTGGAAAGTGCTTTTCAAAAATGTTTGATATACAGGCTGTTGGAGGTACATGGAATGTGAGAGCATGTGTCTCATTAAAGTTACAAGATCAAGGACGTTTTAATTTAAAGGGGATTAGAAATAAAAAGGAAAGGGATAAACAAAAAGCAGGGACACAAAGGGACAAGGGATAAATAAGGTGATGATGAAGGGCAAAAGTCTCCAGATCATAACTGATGGCCCATTGTGGAACTACAGGCTGAGCTTTGGAGGGAGCTCACCTGGATGGTGATGCTGTTTAGAAAGGAAAAAGGTGAACTTCAGGATTTGGGGTGTTCACGGGGCTGTGCAGGACAAGCGGTTAGACTTGATCTTAGAGGCCTTTTTCAACCTTAATGATTCCGTGATTCTATGACTAGGTGGCAAGTAGGAGATCATATAGCAGGTCCAAGGGCCCAGAATCCCACTGAGGGCATGTCAGACTGGGCTCCAGCAGCTGGGCAGGAGAAATCCCAGGTCCTGAAACCTGCTGGAGATGACAGATCTTACAATGTCTGTATCACACACCACTGCATACGAAGGTCTTACTGCTTTTATTTAAAACCTTTCTGCACCACCTGGGGAGGGAAAGGATGAATTACTTCAGTATATGTTTTATTTGAAGAAGAAACCAGTACATAAGGATCAGTGAATACGGAGGTGAGAAAAACTAGAAATCCAGTTTTTTCTCATCCATCAACATCCAGTTCACTTTTGCTAATTGTTTGAGTTGAATTCTGGCCTTGACATTTTGTTATAAGTATCACATGGGCTTGGATCATTGTCAAAATAACTTGAATGCTTTCCTTCAAAGAAAATAGCAACTTAGAGAACCTTCCAGTCTAAAGGGGCTACAAGAGAGCTGGAGAGGGACTTTTGAAGAGAGTATGGAGTGATGGGATAACAGGGAATGGCTGCAAACTGACAGAGGGCAGGTTTGGATTAGATATTTAGGAAGAAATTCCTCCTTGTGAGAGTAGTGAGGCCCTGATACAGGTTGCTCAGAGAAGCTGTGGCTGCCCCACATGGGAAGTGTCCAAGGTCAGGTTGGATGGGACTTGGAGCAACCTGGGATAGTGGAAGGTGTCCCTACCCATGGTAGGGTGTTGGAATAACATGATCTTTCTGGTCCCTTCCAACCCAAACCGTAGGATTCTATGAAAATAGAAACCACAAGAATTACATCAATCTCCCTTCTTATGTTAGTGATCATATCGTATCTTGCACTGTTGTATTACAAAAAGGTAATGCAAAACCAAACAGGTTGTTGACAGATTGTGAGATAACCCTCAGTACAGTCTTTTAAAGTAAACACTCAATATAGCATAAAAAGCACTGAATATATACCTGCACTTTTCTCTTTTTATCTTGCACCTGAACTCCTACTGACAGGTTTCCAGGATTTCACAATAGACAAATTTATATATTAAATCTTTATATTAGGGCAACATACTATTGACAAACTAGATGGAATAGACAAATCAGAAGTTGTCATAACTAAAACCACTGTGTAAGCTTTTCGGTTTGTCTGAGCACAGAAGATACAAAAATAAAACCATCTCCCATAGTACAAGCAATGATACAAGCTTCAGGAATAACATGTTACAGCTGGGTGCTGTCAATGTGGCAACGTTTCCTCAGTGCAGTAGAAGAATTTGGGTCATTTGACTCCTAATTATCCCAAACACTGCTCATTAAAACAAGGTCAAAGGGCTCCTTTAAGCAGCAAAATTTGATACCTGCTTTAATATGTTTAGTGATTGATGATTAATTTTGAGCATTCATAAAGCTCCCTTAAAATCATTGTGTACATATCTGTGCAGGGAAAGCTTGCAATGAAATATTTTGTTGGATCAAGACCAGAGTGCTCAGCCAGTTGTAATTGCACACTGTTATTTCCCAATATTGATTTGACTACATTGAAAAATCTTAGGAAAGTAGCAAAACATCAACAATTCAAATTATTTAAGGACAACACAGAACTGAAAGAAAAGTGTTGAGAAATAATGTCCCATTTATTTACTTTTAACAGCAGAGAAGCTTGATCTTGCTCCAGATTCTGCAGAACATTCAGTCCATAACTCAATCTCCTGTGTCAGTGTTTTAAGAAACCATTGTGCTAGAAAGCAGTTTACTGAAATCCAAAGTTTTCATAACACTTAAGAGTTATGAGTATGATTTTTCTACAAGTAAGTAAAGTGCATGATTTAGGAAAATTAGTCTGTGGAATTTTATAAACACCGGTGCTCCTAAATTCATTGAAATCAATGGAAAATTTTAGTATTAATGACATCAGAATCTTGCCCACTGTGCTTACTGGAAAAGCTCACTTTGACCTTAAGTAGAGGAAAAAGTACAAGATAAACAGCCTACATTCTGTCTCTTAATCCTTACTCAACATGGAAAAAAGTAGAAAAACTTTAGGAAAAAACCATTAATATTGTATTTTAATATGCTTCTTAATTTAATTTAATTTAATACTTTTACTTTAAAGTTAAGAAGAAAATGCCATTCATTGTGGAGAAAAAAATAGTTAAAAAAGCAAAGCGGGACTCTATTTGCAATTTG